ATAATAATAATAATAATAATAATAATAATAATAATACATTGGATTTATTCTCCGCCCATCTCCCCCCAATGGGGAACTCTGGGTGGCTCACAAAGTACAGCTTTAACCACACTTACATATACAATTGATTTATCTCTATCTAATATTAACAACTATACTATATGGCCAGCAGTGGTCGCTACGGAGTCACAACACATCCAGGCTTTTTCCTTCTCCATAAGTCTTCTCCCACTGATCGCGTTGGTCACGTCCAGCATTAGGTCAGGTCCAGCAGTGGTTCTCGCTCCCCACACAGCACCACCGGTTCCTCCCACCAAAATGGGAGTACCTATTTATCTATTTGCAGATGGAAACGCTTTCAAATTGCTAGGTTGGCAGAAGCTGGGGAGGAGTGATGGGAACTCACCCCGTCACGCGGAGCCAGGCCCAAACCGCTGGAGTGCTGACTATTTCTGACCGGCAAACTCCAGTGTCATTAAGCCCTGCGCCACCATGTCCCCTACTTTACAGTAAGTAAATCCAAATTCATTTACTGTATTTTCTTAAACATTTAAAACAATTTTTAAAAAGCTGTTTCAAATCCATCTAGCCTCTTAACCATCCCCAATTAACATTCTTAATTCCCTTTTGCTGTTTCCAAACATTAAAATATTTTTTTTTTTTTTATCTTTAAACTTACTTTAGTCTTCTTTCTCTCAGTAGGAGGGATAGTAGGAAATTCTCCCAGTGTAGAGAAACTTGTTGTTTAGGAGTTTTTAAATTGCCAGATAAATTACAAATAGGCAGTTTACGATGTTAGTTAAAAGAGGAAGTAAAGCAAATCTAGTGTCCTTTTGAAGGCTCCACACCATGGCTTGGGCTCGGTGTTTTTCCCTCAACTCCCAGAGCGCTCCACCCACTAGAGATTGCTAGATTGCAATCTCTTCACAGGGAATCTCTGTAAGGAGTATGAGTAAGGGTGATCCTGTCAGTGTCCTTTATCTGGAGATGATTCCAAAGAGCTGGACCAAGGCCAGCTCCTCTAATTGCTGTGGGCATCGGCTCCACAAAGAACAGAGCTGTGTTCAATCAGCCACTTCTTCCCCGGAAGCCCTTTATATTGTTTTTCTAAATTCTGGTAAAAATTAGAAATTTTGGTAGAAGGAGGAAAGCTGTGGCCTTCCATATATTGCTGAATCACAACTATACTGAAGGAGCTAGGTATAAGTTAATCAGAAAAGACTTCCCTAATAGTAGGGTACCAGGAAAATAGCCTCACCTCTTACAGCTTTTTATTTTATTTATAAATTATTTCAATTTTGAAGCCACCCAACTCCACAGCAACTCTAGGAACACTCTTAAACATTCATAAGGCAAGGACAGTTCCAGAGGGGAGCATGTATTCTGGAGAAGTGGGCAAATAGAAGAATAGGTGAGGTTAAAAGAATATTATTAACTCATCCTAGGCAAAACATAACACTGAATCAGAGTTGAATTTAGGATTTGGCTGTTGATTAGATTGCTTAATGATTTTATTCTCATAACTGGTTGGTGTCTCCAAAAAGTAAGGATGCTCAGTAGTGAAGTCCCATTCCTTGGCTCCAACCCCTTCCTTGCTCTAATAACAGATTTACTTTCCATTCTGCCTGAAATATGCTTTGCGATAAAAATTAAAAAATTATTTAAAAAAATAAACTGATTTTCCAGTTGTACTTAGATGTGCACACAATGTTACAGTTGAATGAATCCATTGGGAGGAATAGCAATTATTAATCCCAAAGTAACACATTTTTGTCAGCATCAGATTTCCTAATATATAATAACTTCAGCCAAGAACAATCCTAATATGCACTCTTAAAGCTTTATAGTTTGGTGTAATTATTAATTAATGTATTAAAATGCATTATAAAGTATTTGTAGTTTCTATCCTTTCACTTTCTGTGAGGCACTTATTTTTTTTAATTGAGTTTTTAGTCCTATTAACTACATAGCTGCAGCTCTACTTATCATGTATTTCTGGAGGCTGACCCAATTTCTTTGCCAGGCCGTTCAGTCAGTAGAAGAGATGCCTCCCAGCAAGAGAGTCCCTAGTGCATCATTTTCCTTTTAAGAGTAATAAGTCTTGGCTCAGGATACTTAGTGAAGAAAAGACGGACAGGACTGTATTGATCTCTGCTCTTGGGTTAGCTCTCTGACTTAAAGTTCATATGGATAACATCTGTGAACTAATGCCATAACAGCTTTGTTAGTTTTGCAGTTGTCACAGGATTTTTTTTTTTTTTGGTGCAGGAGACCTAAGGCGGATACCACTCTGGAATTTATTTGTAATTATTGGAACAATAAGACTTAGCCCAAAAATTATAACATTCCCAGCCAAAGCACTGTTACTTTTGTTAAGATTAACGGTTTTATTGAGGTCTTTAGAGCATACTTACTTTTTGAAGATGGGTCAGACATATGTACATATTACAGAGAAAAAAAAGTTTTGCTTTTACATTTATGCAATTTTGTATGTTTATATCAAATTAAGGAGGATTTTATTTAATAGTCTGTACCTTCTGGTACACTGAGTGTATGACTTATTTTGCATGCTTCTTCCTGTGCCTATGGGATATGTTACAGCATTGGTTGATATAATGCGGCTTGCTTGCAACTAGATAATTCAGACACATTCACTGTAGAAGTATATGGGCAGCTGGACAAGCAGGAGAGATATTGTGTATAAAACTCTTGAACCTCCACACATTTAAAATAATTTTAGTAAATTGAAGAGCAGCCACATGCGATAGCTTATATGCTGAACAGCCTGTTAAGTATAACCAAGCAGCTGAGTATATTTGGCATTTAATCTCCACACACAGAAGCTGTTCATGATTTATTTCTATTTTAGATGTTAAAATGGGGGAGGGCAACTTTCCCAGGATCACAGGCTCCCCCAACCAGCTGGAGGGCTGCAGGTGATATCACTGGAAAATTCCAATCCCTTTCAATGTTTTTCTAAGGATTTATGGGTAGAAATGTGAATGAGGTGTCTGGTTTTGAGA